CCTTTATTGGAACAAAGGCGGATTCGAGTGAAGACAGAGCTCAAACCAAGGACCTGGATAGAAGACTTCTTCGGCGTCGACAAGGAGACCCAATTCAACCACAAGCAAAGGAAAGAAGTCATGAAGAACATCAGCAGGGTGTGTGAAGTCTTTTCTCCGCCAAGGATAGCTCCTCATAGGACTGTCTCCAGGAAGTTCCTTCGATCTCGAGACAGGCTGGGGCCTGTCCAAAGCAGAAGATAGGAAGAAGATGTGGAGGCAGTTGAGGGAAGAAGACCCATTGTTGATCATCCTATGTCCTCCGTGCACTGCCTTCTCAGCTCTCCAGTTCCTGAACTTCCCAAAGATGAAGATGGAGCATGCCGCCATGCTGATCAAGACAGGCATGGAGCATCTGAGCTTGGCCATGGCAATTGCCAAATGGCAGCGCCAAAGAGGGAAGTATTTTCTCTTCGAACATCCAGCACAAGCAGTGTCCTGGAAAGAAGAAGTCGTGAAGAAGGTGGAGGAGATGGAAGGCGTGGAGGTCATCACCACGGACATGTGCATGTTCGGGCTGAACGTGAATGGCATGGGACTCAACAAGAAGCCCACAAAGCTGATGATCGACTCGGAGGAGATGAGGAAAGGACTTGAAAGAAGGTGCGACAAGAAGCACTTCCACGTTCCAACACTATGTGGACTTCCAAAGAAAGCCCAAAAGTATCCACAGGAGTTCTGCCTAGAAGTGCTCAAAAGCCTAAAGAAGCAGATCCGGAGAGATGAAGAAGGAGAAGGAAGTCCAGAAGTGTTCATGCAGGAAGAAGAAGATCAAGAAGAAGGTAGAGACTTGGAAGAAGCTCTTGAAAAGCAAATGGAGGAGGAAATGAAAGAAAATCGAGGAGAAAAGGAGCAAAGATACCAGGTCACCGAAGAAGAGAAACGCTCTATCATGAAGTTGCACAAAGGCCTCGGACATCCTCAAAAGACAGAATTTGTCCGTTTCACAGCTGGTGGAAGTTCGTCGAGGGTTCTGGCTCTCTGGACTGATTCTATCATGCTTCCTGAAGGCTTCGGTCACTTCTTCTTCTTCTTCTTCTTCTTTGGCTTCTCTTGCTCTCCTTCCTTCTGCTTCTCTGTCTGAGCTTCTCACTTCTTCTTCCTCTTCGGGTTCTTCTTCTATGGAGCTTGTTCCTTCAGTTCTCCCAACTTGACCTCTTCTTTCATCTTCTCCGACTTGAGTGGGAGAATATTCTTCCATTCCTCTGCCTTCTTCTTCTTCTCTTCTTGGTCTCCTTCTATCCGCCTCTTCTTCTTCTTCTATGGCACCTTCTTCTCTTGGTCGCTTCCTTAGTGCTCCTTCCGGATCTTCGCCTTCATCTTCTTCAGGCCAGGCTTCTCCTCGAAGGTCTTTGTATCCCTTTCTATTTGATGACCTTTTTGAAGTCTTCTACTAGCTCTTTGCAACTTCTCATGGCTTCTTCAATGCCTTGTTGCTCGATGTTGATGACCCTCCTGCACTGTTCTCGAGCGACTCTCCATAGTTCTCCAAACATGGAGATCCACAGACTAGCTCCATCTAGGGCCCACCCAAGTTGCTTTGTTTGGGGTCCTCTCGTGACTTGGAAGAGATCCTTCATGCTTCCTCTTCTTAGCCCTGGGCACTCTGCACACATAGACGTAGTCACCGGGAGTGAACTCTTGAGGAGCTCTTGTTCTTCCTTGTTCCACTCTCTTTAGTGCTTCCTTCGCGTTGTGCTCGATGAAGGCCTTTTGAGCGATTCTTCTCATCTCATGCATTCTTTCCATGTCATCCACAACGGCTCCATTCATCAAACCTGGATCGATCACATCGTCTCCTAGCAGATTGCTTGGAACTCGCGGCCATTGACCGATCTGCCTTTGCACTGGGCTGAAGCCACTTCTGTTGCTGAACCTGTTCTTGGTCATTTCCACTTCTTGCATCAGCAGCTGTAGTTCTTGAGGTGAGGTGATAACGGCTTCTTCCCTTGCCTTTTCCAGTAGCTCTTTGTAATGAGCTCCGTGCCTCTCTGTTCTTCCATTTTGCCATGGAGCTCGAGCTGCAGTGGTCTGTGTCACTATCCCATGGGATGCGGCCATTTGCATAAATTGAGAGGAGAATTCTTTTCCAGCATCGGCCACTAGGACTTCAGGCAAACCAAAGGTCCGTCCCCATGTAGACCACAAAGTGCTCCAAATAGTGCTGGGTTGTTTGTCAGCGACTCTTTCCACCATTTGGTAGTTGCTTCCCCAATCTACCATGGAGAGGGCAGGGAACAAAACCTCTCTCCTCCAACTTCTGGCAGAAAGATCAGATCAACGCCCAACACCCTTCCAGGCTGGTAGGTCCTGGGTATCGCGGCCGGTCTGGTGGCCTTGGGTTTCGCTCGAGCTTGACACGCTGGACATACGAACTCTTGATATGCCCATCAAATGATCTCTCCTCGGATTCGAGCGGCCCTCAGAGGACCAGTGAGATGGAAGCCAACAAGGGAAAGGGAGAATCCATACTTCCAGGAGATGCTCCTCACAATGGACGAATCTGAGATAGAAGACGAAGAGCCTTGCGAAAGACACGAAAGGCTGAAGAAGATCTCCACGAAGCCCACCAAGGACTACTGGGAGATGGATGAGCTAAACGGTCTGCTCAGAAGGCACCACATCCAGCGACGAAAGTCGCTGTTCAGTCCATTGGGCATGAATGGAGTGCCAATCCATCCTAGCAAACTTGGAAACAGGAAGACCATAATGAAGAAAGCCGATGAAAAGGAAGTGAGGATAGAAGAAGGAGAAGAATGGAAAGAAGACAAGAAGGAAGGAAGAACACCATCCACGTTCTGGTGGAAAGGATGCACCGAGTTTTCGTTGAAAGAAGAAGAAGGAGGATCAGGGCATCTTCAGAAGCTGGAAGTTTGGGCCACCTCCACATCGACAAGTCAAGGAGGAGGAAACTTGAGCCAAGAGGTTGACTTGAGTAAGGAAGATGACAAAGACCTTGAAGAGTGGAGGATGGAGGACAAGTCAGAATTTGAAAAGATCCAGCGAAGCCAAGCCATCCAAGTGCTAAGTTCAGAAGAACCAAGGAAAGTCCGAGCTACCCTCAAAGAAGAAGGAAAAGAAAACAGGATCTTACCGTCAAGAATGGCCAGAAGGTATAAGCCAGCAGAGCAACCTGGAGCGCCTCCTTCCAAGAAAAGCCGTCTTTGCATTCGAGGAGATAAAGACCCTGACATCCTGGAACTTGAAAGATTCAGTTCCACGGTGAACACCATGAACTTGAATGTCATGTTGCAGATAGCGATCAACGCTGGCATGACGGTGAGCATAGGAGACCTGAAAAGTGCATTTTGCCAAAGCGATCCTTTGGAAAGGATCAACGGTCCCCTATACTTCAAGCAACCCTCAGAAGGCATCTCCGGTCTGCATGAAGACCAAATCTGCAAGATCATAGCTGGATGCTACGGGCTTGTTGACGCCCCTCTTCATTGGCCGAAGACCTTGCTGAAGGCTTTGAAGAAGCTCGGATTCAAAGAGAGCAGACTGGACCCTTGCATCTACAAGATGTATGAAGAAGGGCAATTGATCGGACTCCTGGCTATAGAAGTCGATGACATCCTAGCATGCGGAAAAGGAGTCTTCCACCAGAAGATGAAGGAGCTTCGGGAGCAGTTCACCTTTGGCAAATGGGTGGACTTGAAGGAGGAGAAAGAAGGAGCCAGCTTCAATGGAAGAAGATTGAAGCAGGATGAAGAAGGAACTCTCTACGTCGACATGAAGAAGTTCATTGAAGAAAGGCTGGAAGAGATTCCGATAGCTCCTGAAAGAAAGAAGATGAAAAAGGAGGAGGTCAATGAACAAGAGAGATTCCAAGCAAGAGCAGTGTGCGGTTCCCTCAACTGGCTGTCCAAAGAAGGAAGACCTGACGCAGCTGGACCTTCCAGCCTCATGTCCTCGAGGCTGACTTCCATGAAAGTTGAGGATTTGTACACCCTCAACGAAGTGATCAAACAGCTGAAGAAAAGCTCAGATTTGAGCTTGAAGGTTCAGCCACTGAAGGAAATGAAGTTGGCAGTGATCACGGATGCTTCGTTCGGCGACGACGGATTTCATTCTCAAGGAGGCCAGATGATCATAGCCCACGAAGAAGGACTGAAGAAAGGCCTGAAGGTGAAGACAAACTTGCTGTGGTGGCGCAGCGCCAAGCTCCAGCGGGTAGTTAATTCTACCTTGGCAGCGGAGACTCAAAGTCTCTCCAAAGGAATGGGCGATCTTCTATGGATGAAGGTGCTGTTCAAGGAGCTGCTGGAAGAAAAGTTCAACATGTATGATTGGCCAACCACTTTGGCCAAAGAAGACGTGGTAGCTCTGGCAACGAGCGAAAATGGAGAGCTGCAGCAATGCCTGGCGATTGTGGACGCCAAGAGTGTGTTCGACTACCTGAGTAAGCAGACGATAGGTGGGCAGGACAAAAGGACTGCCATAGAAATTCAGATCATCCGCCAGGAGCTGACAGCTTTGAATGGAGAAATCCGGTGGATTGATCACCCTGCCATGGTGGCAGATTGCTTGACAAAAGTCAAGGGGTCCACGGAGCCGCTATTTTCAATGTTGAAGTCGGGCTGTTTTTGCATAGCTGCTGAAGAGGAACACCTCAAAAGGAGGAAAGATGAACGTTCCCAGGGGGTGAGCAATGCGCAGATCCGTGCAGGAGTCAACAGAAGTTTTGGGAGCTGTCAAAACTTTGAGGTTGGCATGAGTAGGGATTGATTCCTGCATCCCGACGACCTTCCCGGTCAAACCTCCCAGGGGCCCGTGTTTGCGTCGACGCTCCGATCGATCCATGGCGTGCAGCAAAAGAACCTGAGAGCTACCACTGACAGCTGCCACTTCTGTCAGTATCAGTGATGGTAAAGGTAGTTTGGAGTTAGTTCTCTAAGCTCAAGAGAACTCACCAGGGGAATCGCTTTGATTGACGATGGACATCAGCATCTCGTCGTCAGGTGATGTTCACCATTTTGGCCTTCAAGGTTTGGCAACCCAACGGTGTCGGCGTGAACCGTGGCAACCACGAAGCAGAAATGGCCAATCATTTCTACGGCTTTTTTGGTGAGCTCGAGGTGAAGTACGAGAAGCGTATGACTGAGCCTTGGATGGCAACAGGCGTTTTGCTCAGTCGTGATTCTGTCAGGTGCCTCTGCCGTTTCACATGTTGAAACCAGCACCAGCCATCGGTGGATGGATGGCATCAGACGGGCTGGATCTTTTCCTTCTTACATTTTGTCACCCTGAATCCTTAGGCCATCGCTATTAGGTTGCTATTTTATTGGTTGGA